ATGTTTGAAGTCGTTCTATTGCTGAGCTCCTGCCTTTAGACCGAATTTTCTGAAAGAAGTATTTAGTCATTCTTTCTCCTTCCTCCCACTCCTTGACTCTTGCCCTCATTTGTAGCCCCTGGTCCTCCAACGCTCCCATGCTCCCAATTCCTCCCTTGATGCCTGCCATATTCTTTCATACAACTCTGTACCTGGATTCTTAACTAGGTTACTATCTGCTATTCGCAATGCTTGCTGAAGCTCAGCTTCCCAGGCTTTCCTTTTGCTCGCTAGCTGCTTAGCCGCTGTCGCCGAAGCTCGACTGATAGCGTTCAGGAGCTCTGGGAAGGATTGATTAGCCGGGTCGTAGTTGAGGCAAGACTGCAAAATGGCCTGCCTCATTTCATGGGTTTGAAGAATCGAATTATTAACCTTATAGAAACCTTTTCCTCTCCTGACTTGCTTATCTGTGGATAAATAAAGAAAAATAGGTTTATGGTCCAATACACTGAAATAAGGAAGGTCGCCTTTACCCACTGAATGGATCATTCCTATGACTGTCTGTGAGATCAAGTAGTCTATTCTCGATGTCGAGCCGTGTTGACTCCTATTCCTCTTATAGTAGGTAAACTGTCCGTCCTCCGGATAGTACAATCTGTAGGGGTCAATCAGGTCAAAAACGGTCATCATGTTATGAACTCGGAGTGCCTCTTCCGCTAGCGTGCTCTCACCCATACTGTGTCCCCCTGACATTCTATCCCGGGCTGGTTCCAATGCGGCATTCCAATCCCCTGCTAATGTAATATGCCTGGTGGGTTCTATTAAGGTTTCCAATTCCTCTAAAAGTTGTATTCTTGGTTGGAATGTGTTGGGTCCATAGATGGATAAGAGAGTGAAGTACTCTTCCCAGAAAAGAAAGTTCAACTTCACCCATTTTCCGTCTCTGTAATCCACCCGCACTTCGTCTATCTTTAGATTCTTCGCTGAGGGGGCCCTCTTGTTTTGAAGAATTGCCACCCCCGCCGAATGTGGGCGTGGTGTCGGTGCCCAGAAGTCTGCTGCTACCCATCTCAATCTTTGTAAAATCCTTTTTTTGACTTGCTCATGGTCTTCTGAAGTGGTCAAGTGAGTTTCTTGTAAACACATGAAGTCTGGTGGATTCTGGTCAAACCATCCTAAATAGCGGACAAAGTTGTTCCACTTGTCCGGGTTGTCCAAAAGCTGTACCAGCCTGTTATATTCCAGTAGACTACTCTGAACTCAGGCTCCTTCCTTGGATGTGCCTGAACTTTTCTTCTACGCTTCCCCAGTTGGCCTCCTTCGCTGTCCTACATTGCGAATTGTCATTCCCTGCCCCCCTTTCTTTCATTGAGAAGTGTTCAAGACCCTGTCTCTAGTAGATCCAACCTTGTTGCGCCCCTTGCGATCCTCTTCTCAATGTACTCTGGCTTCCACGAAAAGGCGTCCGTTTTCACTACTAAAGCCGCACTTCTGGCCACCCATTCTGCCGCCACCAACCCCCCTAACAGTCAGTAGGGAATGGTCTCCACCACCTGCCATGGCATCCATGTCAGGCCCTCACTCAACTTCGCCGTTTCCTGCAGCCTTAACATTATTGGCCTATAATCCTCTGCTTGGACTGTGCCCGCTGTGTCTGCACTGCCTTCCTTTTCCTGCTTCCAATCCCCTATCACATATGCGTGGGCTGGAAAATCCTCTGAGGTGATACCCTTCAAGGCCTGACCAGAGCAGTTGGCCTCCTCTATCGTGACCAGTGCCAACGAGCGATGGATTACCACCTCCCAATCCTTGTGGACTTCATTCCACTTGAAGGGGATGATTACCCTGCGTCTGGGTGAGTTTCTGGCATATAGTCTCGCTATGTGCTCCATAAGCTATCTTTTCCTAATTCGTGGTATCTTCACCCAGCTCACGATTCTGGTCTTTGAGTACATAAATCTGAGCCTCCTAGATCGTTGCTTGCCTGCGTGCATCCTCCATTAGTTCTTCATCTCCCATTTCCTCTCCTGTTGATGTTGAACTTTGTCCCTGCTTGTCTGCCTTCTGTGCTTCTCGTTGCGCCTTCTGCTTGCTCTCGGATCTCTTCATTGCTTTTGGCTGGTAAGTCTTTTGGCCATTCGAACTGCTTACTGTCGACCTCATTTCGCACCTGAATGCCATTGTTGTGGTGTTGAGCCTTCCACCGATATTGGGCCGCATAAAACTCATTTATCTCCCTCTCCTTTTTCAATATCTCAAAGCGGTTTATCTTTACTGTCCAGAAAAGAAAAACAGAGGCTGTACAAAACCTATTACCTTGAGCCAAACCAAACCACCCTTAACCTTTAGCTCTTAGCCCTTAACCCTAAACTGTAAACCATAAAACCTTAATCCTTAACACTTACCCCCCCTAAGTCTTACCGCTTACCCCAAAACCCAAACCCTAAACCCAACCCCTAAACCCTAAACCCTACACCAAAAGCCAGAGTGCTGTTTATGTTTTACTAGATGACCTGTTGGGGCTCCACCTGCAAAAGAAAAAGGAGGCATGAGCACATTCATGGCAGTTTGTCATGCAAGAAAAAGATGTTCTTTTGCTCCGAAAAGTTCTTTCTTGGATGGCTGCAGGCAGACGATCCTCCACAACATGGACGGCACTAACCTCTCTGTGTCTCTGTCTCTCTCTTTCTCTGTCCCTGTCGCTGTCTGTCTATCTGTCTGTTTGTCTGTCTGTCTGTCTGTCTGTCTCTCTGCCTGTCTCTCTGCCTCTCTGCCTCTCTGTATGTCTGTCCGTCTGTCCATCTGTCCGTCTGTCCGTTTGTCCGTCTGTCCGTCTGTCTGTCTATCTGTCTGTCTGTCTGTCTGTCTGCCTCTGACAGACTGACAGACTACAGACTGACAGACAGGCAGATAGACGGACAGACAAACAAACAAACAAACAAACAAGCAAACAAACAAACAAACAAACAAACAAATAAACAAACAAAGTTCGAGACAGCTCCATATGGGCTCTATGCCACGTGCACTGTTACCCTGCCACGTGTGCCGTTGGTGGGGTGCTATGGGGCCTGTGATCCTTTCTCTTATGTCCTTGCACAGCCATCACAATGCCTGGAAACCTCGTGGTGGGTATGGTGGGAGAGGTAACCATTAGAGTTCAACGCCAGGGCTGACCGTCTTTGTCCTCAGCATATGATCTCCATCCACATTGGAGACATAAGCATCGTCAGGCCTGATAAGCATAGTCCTACAACTACGTCCAGGATCCAGTTGAAACGGAGTACCTCAGCAGGAACCAGATTTTGTGATCTGCTGTGGTACTTGATGTGGTTTTGGTGTGACTCTTCCTGATCTGTTCTTTCTTACGAGATTAATGTTGTTCTGTGTGTGCCTGGGTGCCCAGAAGAAGGTCCAGGGATCAAACCCTAAGGAGATCCTTAATAGGCGGTTCCTATGAAACCCGCTTTGGGGCAGAGTGTCAGAAGTTAAGCACAGTTCGTCTCTGGGGTCAAGAACGGACTGTCTACCTCCTTGCTCCTGAGTTCCTTTCTTATACCCTTTATCCTTAAATCGTGACTGTCAAAATCACAGTCGTGTTTGCTGTGATTGGGCCTCTTCTCACTGTTCTCAGTGTGTGCTCTGCTCTGGCTGTCACTACCACCTATGAGTAATTGATCTTCAAATTGTTACATGCCCAGTTGGACGATGTACATAAATAACCAAGGATCCGCAATGTGATGAAAAGGACTGAATGGACAATGCAGTGCAAGCGAAATCTCAACAAGCAGTGTACATCCTGATACATACAACAATGGTGCTTTACAGCGCAGTGCAAGACTTAGATACAAGTCCTGACCTGACCGGGACTGACCTCTCTCACGTAGTGCAAGGCAGCGCAGCAGAATGCTAGAATACCAATGACTAGCCCAATCAATGTCGCAGTACAGACCAAACATACATCATTCTCATCACAAGGTGTGAACGAGGCCTGGCGCTACACACAGGAAGAACGCGCCAGGTCCAGACCATACACCGACGAAGAGGAGGGGATCAGACGAAGGAGGGGGGAAGATGGGAATATCGTCAACACCAAGTCTTCGTTACAAGTCCCAGATAACCCCTCGTCAAATGTCTGAGGTCCAATGTTGAGTCTGGATCCAAATGTCACCAAGCCCGCTCTCTCATAGTCTGCTGATGCAGTGAAGTCAGATAGCGAGAGGGTGAGAGGGAGATGGTGGACTGAGAAGAGGAAGAAGAAGAACTCTCTCTCTCTCATGTGCCAGGTACTAACCTGTGTAAGTGGCGCTGTGCTGCAGGTACCTCGAAGACGAAGCTGGAGCTATGGCGCCGCAGGTAAGTCTCCCTGGCCTCCGCCCAATCTCTCTCTCTCTCTCCAGTACTACTCTAGCTACTACTAGCGCCCAGCGCTGAAGACTACTGCTAACGTTACTACTACTCCTGTAGCGCTCCTCTAGAGTGCTGCTGCCGAATCTTGAAGACTACCTCCTGCCTCCTGAACTGCATTTGAAGTGCCTGGGAAGTACGTAGGAACTACCTGCAGCCTGCAGGGTGGGCTAGTCTTATATAGTGCTGGCCCGTCTAGGAGGCTGCTCTTGCCAATGCCAAAACGTGCCAGACCCTGGCGTTGAAGCTCAACCAAGGGTTGTCTTGAAAACAGGCCCAAAATGGCCTGTGCTAAAACCCTGGTTTGGTGCCTGAGTTTCAGGGCAGGTCGATCTTATGAGGGCCTGAAAATGGCCCCGAGTTTCAGGCTGAAAAGACTCAAGGCCGGAAAGGCCCTGATTTAGGCTGAAATGACACAGGGCCTGTAGGCCCTTGTTTTCAGGCTTTCAGGCTGAAACGACACAGGGCCTGTAGGCCCTTGTTTTCAGGCTTTCGGGCTGAAAACGATACGGGTCTGAAAATGGCCCGTGCAACATGTAACACCCCCCCCTCCTTATGAAGTCAAGCCGGGTCGAGGGCGAACCTGACGATCTGAAGGTGGAACCTGGACGTGGGTGCGATGTGGAGCCGAAGATACCGGCTTGCCTTGCATCTTGCGTTCATAGCGTGCGAGAACATCTGGAGCTGTTGCTTGGAGTTTCGCACGGGTCAACCAACGGTCAACTTTGTGAGTGCAGTACGCAAAGTGTACCAAGTACTCGGTTGGCCTGTTGCCGTAGCGTCGCTGGGAGATGATGTCGCCGACCTCTTGAAAACCGTCCATAGATGGTGGGTCTTGCGATCGTCGCCCGGGAAAATCGTCATGTTCCGCTGGCGTGTAAAGAGCCCACATGGAGCAATGAAAGACCGGGTAGATGGGCAAGTGGGCGGGCACCTGAATGGTGAAAGAAGGTCCTTTGGGTGCATCCCCAGCGGGTGCCACGATCGGCCAGGGGCCCATCCATTTCGGGAGGAGCTTGTGAGAGATATCTTGTTCGAGGCTGAACTACGCGGTCGAAACCCAAACGAGATCGTCGACGCGGAATGGACAAGGAAGATGTTGGCGATTGGCTTGTTGGCTCATGTGTTGCTGCGTCTTAGCCATTTGGTCGCGTGCCTTGACAAGTAGCTCTTGCATCCGTCGCGAGAAAAGAAGATGGTCGTCGTTGTCTGCCGTACATGGAATGATTGTGTCCAACGGACCGACGAGCTGTGCTCGAACTCAAAGGCCGACATCCTGATAGTCGGGTGGATGGACGAGTTGTATGCCAACTCGACATCCGGCAGCCGCTCAACCCGATCCTTTTGGTCGGGACGGATGAGAGTGCGAAGGAGAACCTGTGCGGTTTGATGCACCCTCTCCGTTTGGCCATCGGTTTGGGGGTGGCGAGCCGAACTTGGCTTGAGAGATGAGCCCCATCGTTTGATGAGCACCAACCAAAAACCGGACATGAACCTAGTGTCGCGGTCGCAGACGATTTCCTTGGGGTAACCCTTGGTTCGAATCCAACCGGCGTAAAGAACTTCGGCCAACTCAGGTGCCTTTGCATGATAGCGGCAAGGCAAAAACATGGTGAACTTGGTGAGTTGGTCGACCACCGTGAGAGCCCCATCCACACCGGTCTTGTGCTTGGGGAACGGCCCGGTGATGTCCATGGCAATCGTTTCCCTTCGGTGCAAGGGGACCGGTAATGGTCGCAACTCACAGTACGGACGATGGTTGCGGGATTTGCAGCGTTGACAAACCTCGCATGACTCGCAATAGCGTGTGACATCGCCGAGAAGGTCGGGCCACCAAAATCGCTCGCGAAGTCGGCCAATCGGCGATTGACTCCACAGTGTCCGGTGGCGGGAGCATCCTGGAACTCGCCAAGAAGCCATGTACGCAAGTGAAAGTCACTCGGTACGCAAAGAAGGTCCTTGCCCCGCGTGTGGACAAGCAAGTACCCCTCTTGGATCCGGTAGTGAGAAGGCGTTGGATTAGGAGAGGAGCAATTCGCGTACTTGTCGCGAACCTCGTGGTCGGCTTGGTAGCCGCGGATGAAGCTTTCTCGCAGGTCGTCGCCGATCTCGAGGGTCGAATAGACGGCGGTACAACGATCCGGATGCCATGAAAGAGCATTTGCAAAACGGTTAGACTTCCCCGGAATGTGATCGGGAAAGAAGTCGAATTGGTCGATGAAAGCGATCCAACGGGCGATGGTGCTATTGATGGTGTCTTGGGTCTTGTAGAAGACCAACGGATTGTTGTCCGTTGCCCATTGGAATTGACTTTGACCAAGGAGGAAGTGCTGCCACCGCTTGAGCGCGTGGACGAAGGCTAGGAGCTCCTTCTTTCGTGCATCATCAATGGAGTGCACGACGGGCGCTTTCTTGCTGAAGTATTCGACCGGGTGCCAGTCCACGCCATCGTGTTGTTCTAGGACGACACCAATGCCATAGCCGGACGCATCCGTAGTGACGCGCGTTGGCAATAGCGGGTCGTATATGCGCAAGACCTACGCAGATAATAGCGCGGCTTTGAGAGCCAAAAATGATTCCTGCGCATCCTCCCCGAAGTCAAACGGTCGATCCTCGCATTGAAGCTTGGTCAAGTGGGCCGCAATCTTCGAGTATCCCTTGGTAAAACGTTGGTAGTAGCCGGCAAGGCCAAGGAACGAACGAACATTCGTGACGTTCCGCGGCTCCGGCCACTCTTGGATGGCTTGAATCTTGTCCGACAACGGATTGCTGCCCTCTGGTGTGACAAAATGGTCCAAGTATTCTAGCTCTTGCCAGACAAATTCGCTCTTGTCGTGGTTGGCTTTGTACTTGGCGAGGCGGAGCGTCTCCAACACTCGTCGAAGGTGCTCAAGATGATCCTCCAATGACCGACTATGGACGAGAATGTCGTCTAAGTAGACCAGCACGAACCAGTCCAACATCGCACGAAACTCGTTGGTCATTGCCGCTTGAAAGGTCGACGGGGCGTTGGTGAGGCCAAAAGGCATGACCACCCACTCAAAATGTCCATACCACGTCTTGAATGCGCCGCTCAATCGCTCAAGAAGATCGTCGATACGAGGAAGAGATCCCGCATTCTTGACGGTTTGCACGTTGAGCTTGCGCTAGTCGATGCACAATCGTAGATCCTTGTTCTTATTCCGTACGAAGAGAACTGGCGCTCCATATGGAGAGCTACTAGGGCGGATCCAGCCTTTGTGCAACAAATCATCGAGTTGTGCGCGGAGGACCGTAAGCTCCTCCTCGCTCATGCGGTAAATGCAACCTTTCGGCGACACGGCACTGTCCTCAAGAATGATCTCGTGAGAGATCGTCCGATCCGGCACCACACCGGTAGGTGACTCGAAGATGTCGACGAACTCGTAAAGCAACCGCACCACACGGGGGTCCGAAGACAAGTCCGTGGGTGAAGAGTCGGCTACCGCGACGGTCCGTAGGAAACATAGGCCGATTTCGTCGGGCTGCTAGTAAGCACAAGTAGCCCGGAATGACTTGGCCGTCTCCACTTAGCACCGAATCGAAGGGTGCAGAAGAGGAATAGCACACGGCATTTCGGCGCCAAAGGCGTCCCGAACGGTAAGAGTCCGCCGGTGGAAGTTGATCGTGTGATCCGCATTTGGAAGCCAAGGCATTCCCAAAATAATGTCGAAGTCCGTGTCCAAAATGTCGAACGTCACCGGTTCACATGCGTGAGGTGTGAAATACACCGGTACGGCGTCGATGTAGCGGTCGATAAGTTGCTGCGTCCTTTCGTCCGCCAACTTGATCGCCGTCGGGTTTGCCTTCCTCCAAACTTGTGTGCCAAGGCCAGCCCTTTGCATAAAGGCTTGGCTCATAAAATTGCGAGACGCGCCGCTATCCAGCAAAGCGTTGCAGGACGCTTGCCCAACTTGGATGCGGACATAGAGGAGCGGTGCGTTGTTGTTGTCGTACCGCTGCTTGCGAAACTCGCGGGCCACCTTGGTAACATACGCAAGGATGTCCCCCACCGCGACTTCGTCATCCGTCGGCGAAGTTGGTGGTGCATAGAAGGATAAGTACGTGTGAAGATGAGCGCATAATGCTGCACATTGCGGTCCCGGCAAGCGGCCCGTGGTCGAGAGAGGAAGCCATGCGAAACCCTTGGACGTGATCGGGTCCAATACCTCTTTGTTGAACTCGTGCGCCGAATCCTGTGAAGAACCACTTGAAGACGATAAGTCGCCGTTGTCGGACGGAGAAGATGCCACACACACGTCTTGTCCTTGAGCATGAGTACCCAGCGTAGGAACATTACGGACGGCATAGTCCTCATAAGAATATAGAAGAGGAGGACTATCGACTTTGGCATGTGCCTCGGAATGAAGGGCGTTCACCTGCGAAGCGACCGGTTCCGAAGACGTCGAGAGTGCCGTCGACTCACTCCTGGCGGTGCTCAGACTCCCGATTTGCCTTTGCCTTTCGATGGGCACCCATTGTGTCGTGGAGATCGCTGTTACACCATAGACAATAGCGGAATCTCGTTCGTGCTTTGTACGCCTGTTCGGAGAGACCGTAGTGGGGCCATGGGGCTGGAGCTGCTGCGCCGGGCTCGGGGCTAGATGCGGTGTTTGTCTTGGTCTTGCCGCGTCCTCAGCCTTTGCTGGGGAGGCCACCATCCCGGGCGGCTGCGAGTCTGTGCCCTTCATTGGCAGACACGGCCGAGCTAGTTTGGTCGGTTGGCGTTGCCACCTCGACCACCACAATTTTCAGCCGATGCTGATCTCTGCTCAGGCCTGTCGCAGACGAACGGTGGAGGTTTTTGGCCTCCTTGTTCGTAACAATGATCTGCGTGGCCTTGTCGAAGAGCTCCGCCGTTGTCGTCAGGGTGTCCTCGACATGAGTCAAGGCATTGCCCAACGCCGGACACGACCTCGAGATGAAGTAGTGTTTGACGGCCTTGAAGCCCATTTGAATGTCTGGGACGGATGTCAAGCGTTGGTACTCGACAATCCAGTCAACACTCGGCAGCGTGCCTTGTTCGAAGGTCATCAGCTTGTCCATTGCTTTGATCTCCGGCAGCTCTACTTGGAACCGCTTATGCCACGCCGCCTTTAGATCATCCCAACTGATCTTGGTGTATAAGTCGGTAGCTACCACTCCGTACTTGGACAAGAGATTGTCCAACCATGCTTGGCACGTGCCCCCCGAACGGGAGTACAAGTATGCGTGATGTTTGTCCTCACTAACGTGGTGTAGCTGCAACTTGAGCTTGAACTTGCCGAACCATGGAATAGGGTCCGTATTCGTCGTGGTCCAACTTGAGAGTCCTCTCTTTTGGTGAGGTGTCGTGAGCGCGCTACCTTGAGAGACGACAATCTTCCCGGTGGCGCATCTGGAAGGAGAAAGGGCGGTGCCTCTGAAGGGCCCTGGTCGAAGCACGTGGGTCACGGTCACCATGCCAACCCAATGGGATTAGTACACGCATGCGATGGCTGCTTTGTCCATGAGGGCACTTTTGCTGCGCTGATAGAGGGGTGTGTGGACTGAACAGGCTTATGCAGACGCTCCCAGACCGTCTATAAACATTTCTAGATGGGGTTCCGATCTGACAACTGGCTGTGATTGTCGACCTGATTTGCGACGTTAAATAATTCCTGAGCGACCTTGGGGGCAGTCCTTAAATAGGCCTCTTGATCAGCCAGATCAGTCGGACCTACGGCTCGTTGCACACGAGGATAAAGAATGGGCAAGCCTGGTCATAAGCATGCACCTGGGGCACAGGGGTGGGCCGACATTGCACACCTATGACACTGCTGCTCAATGATGCTCATCGGTATGTTGGATTGAGGGGAGGGTAGGTTCTAATTGGTGCTCAACTGTAAACACAACCATATCCACTGTTCATACACCTGCAACATAATTTAGTTTTATTGTTGATTAGTTGGTTGACAGACTGATAACACCTCACAAACAGTTTAGTTTAGGACTGTTGTAAACTACCATAGCCAATTCTATTCAAAACTTCTGTAAGTGAACTAATCATGATATTACTAAAATATGTTTGCGGTCTTTTGTGAATGTTGTAGGCAGCCACTTGATCGGTTGAGTAGGGGACCTGCCGGACACATTTATTTTTGGAAAATAAGGTGTCCGTCAGACACATGTTGTGGTAGGACTCCAACAGGGAGTTGTAGTGCAGATAGTGTTTGCCTAACTGATGAGTGGGTCAGACACCGATGAGGGTAGAGTTGACGATGCGAGGCTGACACGTTCGAGATCACTAAGGGTCCCGCGCGTGTTTCAGGCCCTACAGCCGGGGGATGAGAGACGGCTTCGTGCCGAAGTTAGGGCCCGTGCTCTCGCAACAGCCAGGGAGACAGCACTAGCTGCAAGTCAGGCGTTGGCAGCAGCAAACGCCGCAGCTAGGGAACAGGCAGCAGCAGCAGCCAGTGTAGCAGCAATGGCTACCGCAGCAGCATCCTCGTCTGGGACTCAGTTGGGAATGCCTTCTGGGCCCACGGGTCCACAAGTCAAATGGCGGGCTTGCAATTCAGTCCGTTGACCCCACACGGTAGAGAGCTATTAGAGCTCCAACAAGTCGAAAGGATCCGCGCTCGGTTAGAGAGGGAACTGAAGCAAGCTACCGATAGGGAAAAGAGATAAAAAATAGAACAGCCAGGCTTGATATGTTAGAGGCAGACAAAGCTGCATTAGAGGGGTTAGATGAGTCATCATACTGTCGCTGCATGCGCACGTAGACAGCAGGCTAGACTTCATGCAGAACTCCTTGGACCAAATCTTGGACCTTCTGCAAAGGCCAGGATTAAGGCCAGCAGCACAGTCGCCGTTGCCGTTGACGGCGATGTCAGGCCCCTTTCCGGTACCAGCTGGCACACAGCCAAGTGGTACGTCTGCAGCAGCCGCACAGACTGTTGCTTCTTCTTCTTCTGGTCCAACGGCTGGTGCTACATCACAGTCGCAGCAATCTGTTCCACCACAGGGACAGCAACAAGGTCAATGGTACCCAAAGACCCCAATGAAACCGCCCCTTGCCTTCTCCGGTGAGAAGAAGGACGAGGAACTCAACACTTGGTTGAGAACAGTTCCAATGTGGGTAAGGGAAAAGAGCAGGGTTGTCACCCAGGGACCCCCGGGGGCAAAGCCGGGGCCGGGATTTCACCCCCAGACCCCCTCCCGCGGGGGCGCCGACCCCCGGACCCCGCAATCAACCCCCGCGCCCGCCCGACCCCCGGCACCCCCGCGGGACCCCGGCCCCG